GACCGCGAGATCGTGACCTGGCTGAAGTCGGACGCTTAACCGACTGCGCCACCCAGGCGCCCCCATTCACTAACTTTTATATTCAAAAAATTTGAGTACTGCTAAGGCTTAGATACTGGGAATATAATAGTGAACAGAACAAATCCTTGTTATCTTAGAGCTCATTCTAATGAAGAGTGGTTGGAAACAGACATAAGTAAAATCTACAGTATGTCAGATGGTAATGGGTACTGTGGAATAAATGAAGCAAGGAGTGGGGAATACTAAGTAAACATTGCATATGTAGATGGAGAGGCCTCACTCAGAGGGAGTCATGTGAGCAGACCTTTGGCAGGTGAAGAAAGGAACGAGGTGCATATCTGGAAGCATTTCAGGCAGATGAAACAGTAAGACTCAGAGACCGAAAGGTGTCTGGAATGTTCAGGGAACAAAAGCCACTACTGAGCTCTAGCCAGTGATTGCTGCATGGGAAGGGGGGGAGGGCTTTCTATGCTTCTCTCCAATTTTTCAAGAAAAGCCAGAAATATGGATTTTTATGGTAGATCTGCATTGTTTTTTATTTTATTTTATTTTTTAACGTTAATTTATTTTTGAGACAGAGAGAGACAGAGCATGAATGGGGGAGGGTAAGAGAAAGAGGGAGACACAGAATCTGAAACAGGCTCCAGGCTCCGAGCTGTCAGCACAGAGCCTGACGTGGGGCTCAAACTCACGAACCGTGAGATCATTACCTGAGCCGAAGTCGGACGCTCAACGGACTGAGCCATCCAGGCGCCCCTAATCTGCATTGTTTTAAGAAATCTATATCCATACAATGGAGTATTATTGAACCATAAAAAGGAATGAATTGCTAATTCATGCTACAGTATGGGTAAATGTTGAAAGCATTATACTAAGTAAAAGAAAGCAGGCACAAAGGCCACATTGCATGATTCCATTTATATGAATTGTCCAGAATAGGCAAATCCATAGAGACAGAAAGTAGACTAGTTCAGGGACTAGTGGAGAGAAGGCAATGGGGAGTGGCTGGCAGTGGGCACTGGTTTCTTTCTGGAGGGTGATGAAGCTGTTGTGTAATTAGTAATTTGCTTAGCAATATGCTGTGGCAAGAGCATATATCACTGGTGTACGTGAATAAAGGCAAATCTCTTAAAGACATTGGGATTTGGCAAATATCCTTATAACCAGTCTTATAAAGGCAGCAAAGAATTTAACTTACACGTTTTATTTCAAAGTTGTTTGATCCATTTGTCATGTTCTAGACATTGTGCTACGCTCTTGCTATAGTGTCATTCTTAATTTGTTAAGAACAAATGATACCTGTTAGAATGGCCAGCATCAAAAAACCCAGAAACTAACAAGCATTGGTGAGGATGTGGAGATATTAGAAACCCTTGTGCACTGTTGGTGGGAATGTAAAATAACTTAGCTGCTGTCAAACACAATATAGTGGTTCCTTGGAAAATTAAAAATAAAGTTAACATGTGACCCAGCAATTTCACTTCAGGCATATACCCCAAAGAATTGAAAGCAAGGTCTTTAAGAGCTATTTATAGACCCATGTTCATAGCATTATACACAATAACAAAAAGGTATTCATACAACGGAATATTAGCCTTAAAAAAGGAAGGAAATTCTGACATATGTTGTAACATGGGTGAAACTTGAGAACATTATGCTAAGTGAAAGAAGTCACAAAAAGACAAATGCTGTATGATTCCACTTATGAGGTACCTAGAGAAATCAAATTCATAGAGACAGAAAACAGAATGGTGGTTGCCAGCGACTGGGTAAAGGGAGAATGAAGAAATATTGTTTAATGGGTACAGAATTTCAGTTTTGCAAGATGAAAAGAATCCTAGAGGTGGATGGTAGTTAAAACGGTTATATAAAAATATGAATGTACTTAATACCACTTAAAAATGGTTTTTAGGTGGGGCGCCTGGGTGGCACAGTCGGTTAAGCGTCCGGCTTCAGCCAGGTCACGATCTCACGGTCCGTGAGTTCGAGCCCTGCGTCAGGCTCTGGGCTGATGGCTCGGAGCCTGGAGCCTATTTCCGATTCTGTGTCTCCCTCTCTCTCTGTCCCTCCCCCGTTCATGCTCTGTCTCTCTCTGTCCCAAAAATAAATAAAAACGTTGAAAAAAAAATTAA